TTCATTTTTAGAGAGAATATTTTCTGGTGACAAAACAAAGTCGTTTAGTTTGAAGTAACTAATATTTTTGTTACCACATACAATAATATTTTGTAGTTGTATTTGTTTTAATTCATAATATATTAATTCTTAAAACAGTTTTGCATTGGTTTTAAATAATAATTTATTTGTTTCTATAAATTTTTGTCTTTTGTCCTACAATACAATACAATTATATGCCAATTTGACTGTAGAATTATATTATAAAAAATTTGTTTCTATAAATTTTTGTCTTTTGTCCTACAATACAATACAATTATATGCCAATTTGACTGTAGAATTATATTATAAAAAAAATTCCGAACGAAGAAAATCCCCACTCTGTTTAATAATAACTGCACTGCTTCATCCATCAAAAATTACTTTCTTAATTATTTGGGTGCAGCAAAAGACACAGAAAATCATAGAAAATGCACGCGTACAGGCTCCGGCTACCATGTTTGATGCTAATGAACTCCCCGCACTCACACATTAAACACCCGCTGCCCTGCATTGAAACCCAAACAATACAATATCCTTGACAAAGCAACTCTGATTGGCGAATTTTTTTAGGAATTAACAACGAAAATATATTTGTTACTTTAACTTAAGGATACATATTAGCGGCAACGCATTTTGTCAGTAGTGCGAACTATTAATTCCCAACAAATTCAGTTTTGTTGCAATTAAGAATTTTATTTAACTCTTTACTTTGAGTAACAAATTTGAAATTTGTATATTAACAAATAAATTTTTTGTTGCAACTGTTGTTGTTGGTTCTAATAAGAAATTTGAAATTTCTTATTAGAACCAACAACAACAGTTGCAACAAAAAATTTATTTGTTAATATAACAGATTTGTTTTCTCGGTGCAAGGTCTCTTCATGAAATTGGCAAAATCCCTTAAAACCATTTAGGGGGCACTTATATGTCAAACTTTTAAGTCGCATTATTGATTAATTTAATGTGTTAATGATTCTTTTTTCCATTTGCCGACCGATAACAATCTCTCGTTTTGCAGACGGTATACATTTTTATAACCATATTTTATCTTCAAGCTTTTTACAATTTAAACTTTATTATTGTGAACACTCACTACTAAAGTTATCGCCTAGGGTGTAAAAATAATTTAGACCAAACCGGTCAATTTTTTATCTCCTAGGCTGTAAAAAACCCGTTTGCACCAATCAAAACATTCGAGTACTGTCAGAGCTCACTTTCTATTTTTAATATTTATTAGAAAATTACTGCTTCCACGCCTCGTCGTGTTCTTACTTTTTAGCACGCCGCATTTTTATATTGAACAAAATTATTATTAAGGTTTTTTAGTGCCTCAGCACAATTCCGCGCGCGCCTTTCGTGTCTTTCATGTCTTGTATTCTAAAAATGCAGAATTTAGCTTCCTGGATGTGAAGAACTACAGTAAAATTGTTTGTAATTATGTTTTTAATGTAGGTACTTTTTAAAAAAATTTGTTTTTTTGGGTTTTATCATACAACATTTTTTTTCGTTTGCCTCCAATATCTCCAATATTTTATTGTATATTACAGCGATTTTTTATTTTAAAGCAATTTAACTTCTTCAAAAGTATATACATATATTTAAAATATTCAAAAATAACACCAGCTAAACAAAAACAATTATAAGTTACTGAAATTCATATTTTAAAATTGAGTCTGTCAGACCTCCAGCGTTAAATCCATCTTGCTTTTTAAAATTCATAGAATAAGTTTATTTGTTTACCCTTCAATAAGATTTTATTTGAATTTAAGTAAAGAGAGCATTTGAATTTGAATTTTGAATTTTAAATACATTTTATTTAGGTTAGATTTAAAATAATGTTGATGGTTTGATTTATTTTATCTTTTATTTTGATTTGTTTTTCTTTGTTCTCTGAAAAAATGGTTGTACTCTTAAAGAACACTGCACAATGTTAAGGCGTATTAACATGCAATTTAACTGTTCTTTCGCCGTGTGCTATTATGGTCATGAATGTGTTTATATTAAGAAAAGTAATTTTAATAAATTAATCGTCACGTAAATTTTACAAGGCTTACAATGTATTCAGTTTAAACAACCCTTATATTGGTTAAATTATTCAGAAAAATATTTTTTGCAAAATCTTATTTTGTATTAAAGGTGCTTAATAAACTCTACTTATATAATGTAATAATATAAACTAATATAAAAATAGTATATTTTTATACAAGAAAAAATAGCCTGCATTATTATTATTAACGAGGATGAGTATACTTTATCTACTCCAATTAGTTGATAATTACATGATTTTAAAAAATAAATAAATAAAATCTAACATCTGTCAGTCGCCTTCTTTAAATTTAAAAACCGATTGGTTCAAATCAGAGAAAATATTGAAATCGGTCAATCACTGATGCCTGACAACGTGAATAATTCATTATTCCCGTTGTTAGGCAAGGAATTTTATGGTAATAATTATATACCGAAAAAAAACAATATTATGCAATACGTTTAGATAAAAGTTAAAACAAGTAAGTAAATACGTTCTAACTAAGGTCCGTTTAGACTAATCAATAATACAATTACATATTCGTTTTTGTTTTGGGAAGGAAACTTTACCGGTTACCACAATAATTGAAAAAGTTCACACCGACTTTAATTTTTTTACATTTTGTGTGGACTATTTAAGCTTAGATAACCACAAATCTTAATTTTGAAGGTTCTACGATAATTAATTACAGAAAAATTAATGATTGTAATATTTCAATTTTTCGCAAGATGCGTTATAGTTTTTCTTAATTTCTTAAATAACTTCCTAACTTATTTGTTATCCTAGCCTATAATATTACTAATAATAATAATACAAAAAATAAAATATAATAATAAAAATAATAATAAAAATAATAATAGCAATAAAAAATATAATCATATATACTACATGTCCGTAACAGTTTATAAAATATTAGTACATGGAAGGGAGCTAATGACAAAAATATCTTTACCAATCGGTGTCCTTTTAGAGGAGCAGTGGCGGCTGGTGGATTTTGGCACAACCATATCTCAGTTATTAGACATCGGACCCACATCAAATTTATATGAGTTTATAATGACATTATATAGACAAGTTCTGCGCAAGCAGAATTTAAATTAAAGTTTGCGAAAAAAAGTTAGTTTTTAAGTGCAACCCCCAGCCTCCTGCCCCTCCAAATTAAGATAATTCAAATTAAAGTGGTACAATATTTAATTCACTGAAGTTTATCGACAAATTTCAAATTTTATTAAAAAAATTCAAGTATTACAGATTTTATACCATTTCAAATTTTTTTAAATTTAGTAAAAGAAATAATAAAAATTATAAATGGTATAAAACCTGTAATTCTTGAATTTTTTTAATAAAATTTGAAATTTGTCGATAAACTTCAGTGAATTAAATATTGTACCACTTTAATTTGAATTATCTTAATTTGGAGGGGCAGGAGGCTGGGGGTTGCACTTAAAAACTAACTTTTTTTCGCAAACTTTAATTTAAATTCTGCTTGCGCAGAACTTGTCTATATAATGTCATTATAAACTCATATAAATTTGATGTGGGTCCCATGTCTAATAACTGAGATATGGGTGTGCCCAAAATCCACCAGCCGCCACTGTAGAGGAGGCATAAGAATCCCGAAATAAAAATGTTAACAAATGTAGTCAAGAAAAACAAACAGGGCAGCAACAAATGAAGATATTTTACATCTAATTATAATATCATTTGACCCTGTTATAACATTTTAAAGGAAAAAATATCATGTTTAAAATACAAACTTTGTGATAAAGTTAAATATACAAAATATTATGGTAATAATACAAAATACAATTATTTCCGCCACGTTAAAATATTAAAAGTCCCGTTTCTTGGGATTAAATATGGTTTATTTTATGAAATAAATCATGCCAGGTAAAAAATAAATTAAAATGTTGTCCTTATAAAAGGTTATATGTACAGTGTTGGCCATAATTTTTGCAACCACTGTAAAAAAAATCTAACTCTAAAATGGCTTTATTATTCTTTATGAAATTTTGGATAAAAATACTTCAACTTATATCTCAGTTTACGTGTTCGAAAGTTTTTCGAGAAAATATTTTTAAAGCCCTTTTATTTAATAATGACTATTTTCCTCGTCTTAATTTCCACCAATCACAAACGCGCAATTTTGAATTACAAATGGTTTCTAGGTAGAAAAACTGTATGACAGCACCTGTCAGCAGTTTTTTCGAGTTTACCTGCGGCCACGGTCTTATATAAGACCGTGCCCGCGGCAAAACTTGACAGCTGTTGTCACCAAAAATTGCAATTTATATTTTAATTGTTAACTGTTACTCATGAAATAGTATTGTCAAATACCATTCTGGCATCTAATTTTTCCTGTGAAAAAAATCGAAAAAACACAATGCTAAGTAATATTTTTATATCCTATCTTCGTTACTGTTCGTTTAATTTGTACAAAATTTTCAGGGTATACTAACAAAAATACGGTCTTAACAGCATATTTTTTATTTACTTATTTCCCTAAAAGTTAATTTTCGAACGTTTTTTCATTATTAAATAAATAAAAGGGCTTTAAAAATATTTTCTCGAAAAACCCTCGAACACGTCAATATAAGTTGAAGTATTTTTATCCAAAATTTCATAAAGAATAATAAAGGCGTTTTAGAGTTAGATTTTTTTTACAGTGGTTGCAAAAATTATGGCCAACACTGTATATGTTGTATTAATTAACAAGACTACTAGAATCTGAACTTAACTTAAAGTAAATAGCCTGTATTTGCTATTAGGTATGTTACTCAAATTAGAGACATAACAAAAAATAATAGATTAACTTTATCTTTGTGTTGGCCTTTATTTCGTGTTCATTAAAATATTCCCATGGTAGACATTAGAAGAGCGTTATTCGGTTTAAAGATTTAATTCAGGTTTAATATAAAAAGCTTGGGTCTAATAAATTTTAAAATTGTTTCAGCCGTAAAGGCCACCTTGCTTATCCAGCAGTGGTACAGGAGATACATTGCACGATTGGAAGTTAGAAGACGGTGTACATGGACAATTTTTCAAACTTTGGAGTATGCTGGTGAATGTGATCAAGTCAAAGTGAGTTTAAAATTTCATTAAATTAAAATTGTTTGATAAAACGTTTTAAAACAAATTTACAATAAAATTGTAATTTGTAGTTTTAGTTTATTTATTAATTTAATTGTAATATAACCGGACTAAGCTTTTAAGAAGCTTCCAAAAAGTTCCTTAAATAGTTAAAATACATAAGCAGTATAAATTGTAAAATACTAAAAGGTAAACAAATGCAAACATTTTCTTTATAAAGTTCTAGGGGGTAAAATAAAAGTTTTTAAAATTAATCAAAACTACCAATACCTACCTACTATAAACCCATCCTACGTAAAGAATTGTTAATATAGTGTTGATGCCAAAATACCAAGTGTTTGTGGAATCCACGGAATAAGATCTAAAACACCATTTGTGGGTGGGAGCTAGTGTCGATAAAATTCAAGGAACAATAATTGTTTACGAATATTGAATTACAAATGCACTAGATGGATATCCATATGTTTGCTATTGCAGGTACACGATGCTAATATAAGTAAAAGGGGTTTTTCTACGACCACTATGTAAAAGTCACATTTCATAATGGCATCGTTGCTTAGAAAATGAATCTCTTCATTGGCAAGGCAAAACACGAATGTAAAGTGACATTTTTGTGTGAAAAGTGACAGGTGTGTAAAAAGAAATTGACAGCATCGTTTGACATTCGTTTCAAAATTTGTATTGTATTTTTATGTGTATGTCTAAATATCATTTAGAACACAATTAATTGTGTTTGTAAAATAAATTCCAATTTTAGTGCCTTTATTTAAATTGAAAAGGTAAGTTTATTGATTTAAAGTAACTTACCTTACCTTAAAAATTAAAAGAATAAGATGAAAGTAATTTTAACAGCTGTCAAACACGTTTTTAGGTTATTTTGTTTTGTATTTGAATATAATAAAAAATTAAAGGGTCGTAAAAAAATATTGTGTTTTACTTGTGAGAAAGGCTTTATTTAAGCTCGTATTAATGCACACTCGGCCTGACGGCCTCTTGAACAACTTAAGCACTTGCATGAAAAATTCGCTTTTTACCACTTGTAAAACAAATAACTATTTCTTGGTATAGCCAAATGTTTACGGTAATTTTGTTTTTGTTTGCAATTTTATAAACAGGTTACGGTAGCCAGAAACAAAATGTTGCTCTGTGTTTCTTTGGTGCCCATAGAGACTTATTATTGCACAATATGTTGTATTGTGCAATATAGTGGACAGTGTGTGAACGATATTGCACTTTGTATTGTCTGATTAACTGGGTAATGCTTCATTTTTGTGCAATAATATTGAAAATTGCATTTAACTTAATTCCACAAAAACACTTGCTATGCAGTTTCTTACAAAAAATCAAAGTATAAACTCTTCACTTCTATTACGAGTTAACAAAAGCTTGATTAAAAATGTGTCCAGCACAAAGTTTCTTGGTTTAGAGCTAGACTAAACTTTAAGTTACTTGTTCAATTTAAAAGGGACAGTGTCACTTAATGTTCTAAAGTTATTGAATTTTAGTCTCATACAATCAGTTTTAACATATTGGTTATCATCCAGAAAAGTAGACAAAATATATATATATTCGATGTATAGAGGGGGTTTCAAGAAACACTTCCATATGAATCTCCTATAGTTTTTCAGAAAAATAACAGTTGTTTTTTGCAAATAGTTTTGAAAAGAAAATAGTAAACACAGTAAACTTAATTTATTAACAAACAAACAAAAATTAGCATGCAAACGAAAAAAACTTAAATAATTTCAGTGTCGTTTACGTTTTGACTTACGTCTTGATCATCTTCACTTTTTTTTAAACTTGATCTCAAATATTTTTTTAGAAGGCTTATTCTGCAGTCTTCGCCATAATGTTTAACCATCAATCCAATAATAGGAGTTTTATAACCGATAACTCTTTAACCGATTTTATTAAAGAAAGAAGCAGTTTTTAAACATTTTTAAGGTGGCAATACATTCCTTATCGAAAACCTGATGAAATTAGCAAAAAAGTGAATTTTGATTATTTTGTCGATTAGAGACTTCTGCCAATAATGGCCTCATATTTTCTCTCTTATTATTTTTATAAAAGAAAATAATATACACACAAAAAGAAATGATTTTCACAAATATAAAACGAGACAATGCAATTATCTGCAGCAACCATTCGACAGACAAAAAAACCCTACATCTATAGGTATTAAAGTCACTAATCACTTGTCTAAAATGCCTTCAGCAAGCCAACTTAAATAATTTAAAATTTAAACTAAAACAAATTCTTTTTGACAAGTGGTACTATGTACCAATATGTTTCAATTGTGTACTGGTTTTGTCCTGGTTTTGCAGATTTGGTCCTGGTTTAAACTCATTTTTTTAATATTGACATTATTAGCACATCTTTTTTTAAATAATAAACATCGAATAAAATAAATTTTGTTTACTTTTTGGATGGGCGAGGAGGAGCATGTTGTGTCCTGGCTTTTCATTTGGTCACCTTATATTTACTACTTTTTTCAAGCTTTCAACTAGAATATTTATAATTTTTTGTTATGTGCATCATTTTTAATGCCGGTTTTCTAACATAATGACGTTTTAGCTTCATTCTTATTAGGTTTATAATAATTTGACTTTTGAACTAGTTTTAATATGAATTCATTTTATATTATATATGAACTTGTGAAGGTTATAATGTGAAAATTATTATACGCCTAAAAACTCATATTTTTAATTTAATTTAAATTAGCTTCAAAACTAATAATGAGGAATTTCTTTTATAGAAACAAGTAAAGTGCAAATAATAATATGTCATTTATTGAAATAACTTGATTTCTTAAAATGATTCTAGTAATATTAAATATAAGAAGACTTTTGAATGTAAATTGGAAAAACCTTTTAATGCTACTGAAAAACATTTTAATAAAATAAAAAAAAATTTTGTTCAAAGAATTTGTTTTGATCCTATACGTTTCATTTGAAAAGTAAACATTGTATACATTTTTTCTATACGCTTTCATGGATTTATATAAGCCCTTAAAATAAAAGTTTGGTTTTTAATACTTTGTATCAAAAAATATTAATATTAATTAATGAGTCCAAAGATTCGGAAAGTGTTTCATAATAATAATGCATTTTAATTATTTATTATTCTGTATTAAGTTTTATAAACGCCATTTAAGTTACGAGTTTTATTAGGAAATAGCGAAGCTTGCGAGCGAGTGTTTAATAAAAACGAGTGTCTAGAGAAGTTTACTTTATCTACGACGATCATAAATAAGAATTTTCAAGCCAATATCTGACGAATTTAACCTCATTTTTTATAATAAACCCCCTCTCTATAACGGGAGTTTTGAATGGTGGTCAGCTATCCGTTAATGTATCCCCCACCAGCTGGCCGGGCCTCGGTGTTTGTTACGCCACTGATTAATGCCATAAAATGTAGTGAGCAGTATCTTATTACAAAAATTAATTAAAAGTATTAAGTACTTTCTCAACGCTAATATTTCAAAAGTTTTTACTGGCCTTTTGTGTACTGCCAGGTCTTATTTAAATATACGATGTTCCAAATTAAAAAAAAAGAAATTATTGCAAAATTTGAAGTTAATTGATCAAAATTAACATGGGTCCCTGAGAGTTTTTTATAGATAATTTAGGAAATTCAAAATGTTTTTTTGCTATTTTTTTTTATTGAGTATAATTAAGGATATTATGTTTATTGAAATAAAAAGCATAGGAATGTTGGCACAAGAGGTGAAATATATTATTTTACAAATTATAATACCAGTAAACAGTGTGTCCATGGGATCGGACTTCCGATAGGAAAAACTTTTTAGACCTGATAGAGCTAAACCGAGCATGGATTTGGAATCTACGACTAAAAATTATGTTTACGTGTCCGAGCGTTTAGCTGTGATATTTCAAGAGTTGAAAATTTACCTACAGTGTGATTAATATAAAATCTTTGGCAAACTTGGCAGTTTTTTGACAAGAGTAAAAATTAAAGGAAGAGGAAGAAAATTTCAACAATTTTCTTGCAAAACTATTTTGTTCCATAGCATAAACATTAAAGACGACAGTAACAAAATCAGCACAAAGCATTTCACATATATAAATAAATGACAGGAATAGTATTAGAAAAAAATTAAATTACAATTAATTTTGAAATTGATTTGACGTTTTCAAAATTAATTTTAAGTAAAATTTAAATAAACTAAAGTCTATTCAAATCCAAGCTGGACTAAACAAAAACGCCCAGACGCGTGATAAGTCGTTTCTATTGGTCGATTCTGTTTACATTTAGTCCAGCTTGGATTTGAATAGGCTTTAGACGCTTTCCAAGGCATATCTGACCAAAATTTCTTGCAATATTTTCTTCTAATGTTCCCTTTGAATATTAAAAAAGTAAATTCATATTTTTATTTTAATTTTACAAATTGAATAATAAATGTAAACATAATAGTAATAATAATAATAATAATAATAATAATCTTTATTGCCCAACAGGATTCTCCCAATTACAGGACAATGGTATAAATATATATAACAAATATATCAAATATATACACATATATATATATATATATATATATATAACACATATTTAAAACAAATATATCGAACATACAATAAAAAAACAATATCCTTATTATTTAAATATATCAACTAATAGCTCATTTCCATTTTTGCACATGGTTGTTATTGGTGCTTTTGATAAAATATTTGTTCTGGCAGTGGGAATTTGAAAGGAGACAGAAGTTCTTGAGTTGTTCCTCGGAACATGAAACTGAATCTTCGATAGTAAGTATTCGCAGTCAACTGTACCCCTTACCAATTTCGTTAAAAAACGTGCACTTTGCAAATCTCGCATTGTGTCCAAGTGCATTATTTTGTATTCACTCATAATACTGTCCACTGGACAGTGTCCAGGTTAGCATTTTGTTCTGGGTAGGTTCCATAAATTAAGATATACATGTATTTTAAGAATCTTCTTTGAACTCTATAAATATTTATGCGATG